CGCAGTTGAAAGAATTACAACCCTGAAATAGAACTGGGCAGGACATGTTGCTAGGGTCAGAGATGGAAGATGGACAAAGAAAATTTTAGAGTGGAGGCCTAGACACGATGCTTATCGTAGTCGAGGACGTCCTCCAACAAGGTGGTCGGACGATTTAAAGCGCATCCAGTCTAACTGGATTCAAGTTGCTCAAGATCGGAGGCAATGGAATTATTTACGGGAGGCCTATGTTCAGCAGTGGACGCAAAATGGCTAATGATGATGAATCGACTTAAACTGCAAATTCCATAGGTGGGTGAACTGATAGGGTAGGGGCTGGTATTATTGAAAACGACTATTATAGAAAACTGGAGAGGTGCTGTGAGTTATATTACATTTAATGAAGCGAAGATATGGGTTTCGGATGATTTCATAACTTAAAATTAAGTACTTGATGATTCCTCTGAAGGAATACGAGTGAATGGAGAACGAATACGCTTAACAACCCATTCAAATTTATTGAATTCCTTAATACTAATTTCGTTAAAGTTTCATAAAGAATAAGAAATAAATTAGAGATGTGTTCAAAAATCAAAATTACACAATGTTAATTTTGCTCAAGTTTTAAATACGAATATGTGCGGTTTTTATCCAACGTTATATTTGTTCGTAAACCTTCAGCTTTAACTTTCCCATTAAAATCGGCCAAAATTCATCTCACGCCGACTTTTCAGAGAATATTTTTTTTAAAATGTGCCTCATTTAAGCAATGAACGGCCAAATTAAGTACCTAAAAAGTTTTTATATTTCGTTTAGCTGACAGCTTGTTCCACAAACCGTAAAAGTTGATTTTTCTTTAAAATTATCCCGGTTTTTCATCCTCGGGGAACGTTCAGGATAAAATAAAGTGGTAATCGTGAAAACGTGCCCACTCGAACATTGTGCAAATGTTTGTTATTTTTTAAGGCAAGCGCTTACAAAGTACAAGATTTTAATTATTTTAATGGTACAAAAACACTATAAATAGGTTCCTTAACTTATTCAATACTATTTACCTATTTTCCAAGCTATTATTATTCAGGAATTTTGATTAGTCAATAAATGGTTTCAGAGCCTATGAAAAATAGTTTTCTGTATGTTTCGAGTCGTCTGATCCTTTATGACCTGACACTCACATAAAGTATGCCATGTTATGTATGCCACTTCAAGCACTATAAAGCGCTATCGGAAAGAATGTACACTCGAATCCTAAGGATATCAATTAGTTACTCTTGGGTATGTCGTGTATACTTTAGTACCCAAGACATACGGATGTATTTCTGCCCGAAAATAGTTGAAGCGCTTCTGGCTGTTACCCCTACTCCAGCTCTTTCATCAATCTTTGATGTATTTGTAACCCGTACAAGTGTATTCCCGTTGTTCTCCGAATCGTGTATTTAGGTCTTATTTAAAAGTACATATTAAAAAAAAAGACCAATTATTTCATATAAAAGTATAGTACTTCAAGAACATTTGAGGAGCTTTTTTACAAAACTGCATAAATCCACTTTTTAAAAATTTTCAGGAGACGTAAAAACGTACTGCAGCTGTTGTACTAAAATTTTCGAAATTTCAGAGAACGTAATCAATTGAGGTTAGATTTAGAGAAATCAAACGTTAATTAAGATTATTTTTATTGATTTGCATTAACAAAATATCGCCATGTCTGTCTTGGAGATATCGCGTTTTGTAAAAAAAGATGAGAGATATTAACTTTTGTCAAATTAACAATATCTTTGAAATAAAAAATATTAAACGGTACATACTAGAACAAAAAAAAAACAAAAATGAGGAGTATCAAAAATTTAGATGTGAACATTTTGGCTCATCCTCCAAGCAATCACACTCGCCATCATGGTAGTTGTGGGTTTCTGGATCTGGATTACAAGTAACTTTGTGTTGAAGAGCATTAATGTACCAATGAAGATCAGGGATCTCTTTCCAATTTTGTCCAAAGTGGGTTTGCAATAAATGAAGGACGTCTTTTTTTTTCTCTTCAGTCACGGAATGAGATAGTGGGATTTGGGAAAGAGCCTGAAGAAAATCATTTTTATTTTTTTTTACAATGCTTCTAAAAGTTTCTGTTTCACTATCGAACCTGTAGTTGGCGCAGCATTTTATTTTGGTTGAAATATGTGTGTCCCTTGTTTTGATTTTCTTAACAATTAGGCGTTTGGTTTGGCTGATTCCTTTTATTTTTTGATAAATCATTTCGAGACTTTTGATATCGTATACCACCCAGTCTTGTCCAAGTTTCTGTGCAGAGCCAAACTCCTCGTAAATAGAAGCATACTCTTCGCTCGAGATGATTGTATCAGTTTTTTTCAAGCGCTTCTCCACACGGCCAAAAGCTCGATCAGCTATAAGAAAACTGTGGCCACGAGTCGGAAAGGTTACTTGAATTTTCTGTACGTTCTCTGGAGCCTCATTTTTAAGCCAATGGCACAAAACATGAACAATATGAGCATTTTTATTTTGGCCAGCGCAACCATCACAAAACAACGATACTGCCGAAAAGGACGAAAGATCTTGGCGTCTTAAGTGATGGATGAGTGCAGATCCGATTTCATTTGCTCCTCTTCTTCCCTGCGTTTCATTCCACGTATAAAATGTTGGTGCCTTTGAGTCAATAGGTACACAGCAAAATGCATAGAATGCAATTTGTCGGCAATAAAAGGCATCGCCGACTGGAGTTTTAGGGAGTGGATGCACTTGTTGCAAATCAAAAACAAAACTATAAGTATCATTGGGAACTTCCTTCGTTAGTTTGTAAAACGCATCCGCTCTCAGCTTGTGAATACGAAGTTCGGTCATTGGATTAATTCTTTCAACTGAGCCGCGAGCGTTTTGTTGAATAAGATATTTAAGACGAGTGCACGTAGCGCATGCGTCTGTAGCTGGAGAGGAAAATCATGTTAAAATCGGTTACAAAAATACCGTGAAAACATTAATAGCTCACGTGCAAATCGGCAGTGTAAGCATCTTTAAACATTTTATATAACTTATTTACACTTAACTCTGCTGAAAGGTAAACTCTCTTACTTTTTCCTCTTCCATAATGAGATTCGACACAATTTAGTTTACCAAGAAATTGACGGGGACTGCTTCCTTTTTGGCTCTGAAAAAAGATTCTCGTCGATAACCACCTCTATTTTCTTTGGGCAGCAGACCTTGATTGACGACCTTTCCAATTTGCAGTAGTCGAGAGGCAGGTACACCCATTGAGAAAGCAAAAAACTTTTTACAGACAGGAATCATGCGTTTCTCTTTTTGACTATTAAGAAAAAATTTCACAGAAACCGTTCTTGTGCGAGTTACAAAGACGGGCGCACCACTTCCCCTTCTTCTTTGGGGCTCGAAAGCAGAGATATATCTCATCAAAACAAGATCTCGTTTCTCCTTACCCTCTGCCATGTAGACTGCTTTTCGATTAATTTTTATATCATCGTAGGATACCGTAGCGCAACGAAGATTTTTCGAATTATGGGCACATGGTCTGGTCTTCTGTTTTAGAAACACTAAATGAGGATCACTATCGTTGTACTTCATAATTTTTGAACGCCCTCTCTCACTTGTTTTGATGGATCGTCTTTTTTAGATCCCACCGATAAATTAGCAACGGTATCGATCTCAAAATAACACGCAAAACACAGAAACAACGTCGACATACAACGAATTCACAACATGCACTCTCATCGAACGGAAAACTACTGATAATCTCATACAGTGTGGCTACGCTACACACTGTCAGTGCGACCCGTGAGTAATTTTAGAACTAACGAATATTATATTTTGTTTCACGAAACAACATCTGACTCTAGAGGATGCTTTTAAAATCAAACAAAAATAGTAGAGGCATGGTTCTGAGGGTCGGAGGATTTGTGCAGTTTTGTAAAATAAAAACTAATTTTAATGGTTAGCTAAAGAAGGAGATGTTAAGTTTTGTATAAATAAAGACTGAACATGGAGTAAAGGTTTTTGAGTGGATTAATTAAGTTTTGTGGAAGAAACGTGATTTGTAGGCTCATGTTAAATGGGTAATATTGCCTTTGGACACATGAAACTTATACACAAGATCTAAGGCAGACCAAACTCTCGAAATTCAACAAAAAATGTATTTTAGCCGGAAATGGATTTATGCAGTTTTGTAAAAAAGCTCCTCATTTACTCCAAATTTGCAGTACATCCGAGCAATATTACAAGAGTTTAAAACTTTGAAAGGTTTTTTTCTCGAAACTTTGTTTTTCCATGCTGTAGGTACGATTTCTCGAGAAACAATTGAATGATTTTGCTAAAACTTTGCACAATTCATCTTATGCTATTGTTTCGCGATTGAACGAAGGGATTTTCAATCGATCGACTCGTTTTTGTTTAATATAAAAAATAAATTCAAAACTATGAGAATCGGCGAAATGCTGAAAAATATGAGACGAAAATTTAAAACTTGGGATTTTTGGTCCAACTAAAGGTTGAACTTTTTTCCCAATTCCTTCGTTCAACCACGAGCGAAATGCATAACCTATAAGAAAATTTTCGAATTTTTGAATGCAGATAAACGTACAACGAAACATTTTGCCTACCGTAAAAAGTCTGGACGAGAAAACTGCAGGAAAAAGCGACGATTTTCAATATTTTACATTTTTTTTTTGACAAAATATTTTTGGTTTTTATACAATTATTTGAAAAAGTTGTTTTTTTCTTCTTCAAGACTTATGTAACTCCTTAAAACAGAATTACTGTGATGGATATTGATTCACCCAACAATTCCAATGCACTTGCATTCAGAGTACTGAGTCACGTGTTTTCCCAAATGTATTAAGCATACTTACAAATTGAGTTTTCGTTTTTGTATATAAAATTATAAAATAATTTGTTTACATACAAAAGTAAAGCTTATGCGGCATACAAATATCCGAATTTTTTTTCTAAAGTAAACTAAACTTTCTTCTAAAAAAAACTAACACTTATTTTTTTTGTTACAGAAAACTGGTGCCCGCGTAAAGATTTACCCAAATGTTGCCCCCCAAAGTACCGACAGAGTAATTCAAATCATTGGGGAGCCCGCAAAATGCATCGATACAATCAGGGAAATTTTAACGCTAATCAAGGAGGTAAGAAAACGTTTTTATACATTAACGTATGTTATTTTATGTACACTTAAAAGTGTCGAATGTGATATGGTCCAAGGAATATCGTAAGACTTTTTAAATAGAACTGTAGTAGTGTATTTTATGGAAATACTGTTCTAATCTGGTCAGTAACCAGTTTAACGAGTAACGGGAAAGTTATTCTTTTTGAAACATTATTATTTGTCCTTTTAGTGGATATTTAAAAATAAACTAAAAAATAATCTTATATTTTTCGTTATCAAATGACACTAGCTTCAAATGTTTATTATACTCCTTCACACAACATATTTTTTAAGCTAAGCTTTCTTATCGCTGTTTACGGATGAACTGGTGGATCATGGTCAGGTACGAAAAAACTAGACTATACACTACATGGAGTAGTAAACTCAATCTCATGCGTGATTTTTAATAAAATTAATTAAATAAAGTTTAATTAAAAAAAATTTTGTTTAAAATCCTTTATAAAAGGTATATAAAAATGCCCCAAACGGGCTATCACAAACACATTGCAAAACGTTTTCGGATTAAACAATCCATCATCAGTGCAAATCTGAAAGTATATAACCACTTTAATTAAAAAGAACGTTAAAATGTTGACAAAGGTTAGAGCAAAATGTGGTTAATACTTACGGTTGTACATGCTAGTAGCCACCAAAATATATGGGTAAAAACCCTTTAAATATCTTAAATTTGTAGTTGTTTTACATTATTAGTATTTATAATTTGTGATGTTTAAGTTACCGTTGGATAGGTAACATGGCGGCGTATGACTCTACATGAGTAAAATGGTCCTGAGACGAAGTGTCTACGAGGACATGTTGATAACAACTGATCAAAATGACATTGTTGACATGTTAGGACGGATGTTGTGTCAGAGCAGTCAGTGTAACTTACGGTAGTTGTCTAAAAATGACAGATGTCAGCCTTATTTAAAATTGAAAAAGTTAAAATTATAATAATGTAACAGTATCAACCATCAATATTGTAATCTGTATTGTAAATTAATCAAATAGCTATATTTGAAACATTGAAAATTGGTTTTTTAATAATTAAGTGGGTAAAATGGAATTTATGAAATTTTGTAGGATTGATAGGCAACCAACTATACATGTGTAAGGATCTATTTATTTTAAGCTAAAGATTTTGTCAAAAGGCCCTGTATGTTGTGAGACATTTGGTACCTAGAAAATGGTAAAAAGGCACATGTGAGAAGATGGGTCCTAAAAGATTTATTATTGAGTATTGATGTAGTAGGTGGAGGTGTGTTTAGATATATTGTTGAGCTGAAATGTAAATATGATAAGAATGTAATCATAATGTGGTGTTCGTGTAGTACTCAACTTAAAACTTAAGTATGGAAGGCCCTCTATGTCAAAAAACTACATTTGGTGCCTAATAAAGATAAAAAATTTTAAGTTTTAAGTACGTGAACATGAATTACTGGTTATGTGTGTAAAGTAAAGATGGTAGGTTGTTTATGTGTGTGGGCAAGTGTGCCAGACTGACAGAAAATTGATGGCTGAAAGATGGTTAGGTGTGATATTGTTCCTACATTGCTCAAGTTATAACTCAAGAAAAAAAAATTAAGTTGAGTACTACACGAACACCACATTATGATCACATTCTTATCATTTTTACATATCAGCTCAACAACATATCTAAACACACCTTCACCTACTACATCAATACTCAATCATAAATCTTTTAGGACACATCTTCCCACATGTGCCTTTTTACCATTTTCTAGGTACCAAATGTCTCATAACATACAGGATCTTTTGACAAAATCTTTAGCTTAAAATAAATAGATCCTTACACATGTATAGTTGGTTGCCTATCAATCCTACAAAATTTCATAAATTCCATTTGACCCACATTAATTTTTAAAAAACCAATTTTCAATGTTAAATGTTAAATATAGCTATTTGATTAATTTACAATACAGATTACAATATTGATGGTTGATACTGTTACATTGTTATAATTTTAACTTTTTCAATTTTAAATAAGGCTGACATCTGTCATTTTTAGACAACTACCGTAAGTTACACTGACTGCTCTGACACAACATCCGTCCTAACATGTCAACAATGTCATTTTGATCAGTTGTTATCAACAGGTCCTCGTAGACACTTCGTCTCAGGACCATTTTACTCATGTAGAGTCATACGCCGCCATGTTACCTATCCAACGGTAACTTAAACATCACAAATTATAAATACTAATAATGTAAAATAACTACACATTTAAGATATTTAAAGGGTTTTTTACCCATATATTTTGGTGGCTACTAGCATGTACAACCGTAAGTATTAACCACATTTTGCTCTAACCTTTGGCAACATTTTAATTTAACGTTCTTTTTAATTAAAGTGGTTATATACTTTCAGGTTTGCACTGATGATGGATTGTTTAATCCGAAAACGTTTTGCAATGTGTTTGTGATAGCCCGTTTGGGGCATTTTTATATACCTTTTATAAAGGATTTTAAACAAAAATTTTTTGGTGATATATGGTATACAGCCAGCTACAGGAACTTAATTTCCTCGTGGAAAGTTAAATAAAATCAATCTAATAAAATAAAAACCATAGCTCCATGCGTAGATGATAAGAAAGCTATGCTTCCACTCCTAGAGTCCTACAATAACGTTTTTTCTTTTTCATCCATTGATCGATTGTTCATATCTGATTTTTTTTTAATATATTTCTATTGATATTTCTCTCATTTGATCATTTCAGATGTTTTTAAACATTTTCTTTTTCCTGGCTTCCCCGGTTTTTAGCATGTTTTTGTGATATATATGGTTATATTTTTTGATATATCCTATATTTTAGTTCCTCTTAAACTCTTTGTCTTCTTATTTTTTTTTGCTAATTATCCCAATTCATTATGTTTTGTTATAGTTCGTCATCCCAACTACTTTCATTAGAATGTTCTTAAGTATCATCTTACTTTTTTTCACATTTATTATCTAAGCTTGCCCACACTAGTGATGAGAAGGTCATGAATGAACCGTTCACAAAGATATGATCTTTTCGAAAACCCGTGATTGATACAATCACATTCTGAGATTCTATGCATCATGCCTATGAAGGAGGCTGGCTAGTGTTTACGAAAAACCTGTGTGATCGCGACACGTTGCTCGGTCAAATTAATGCATGAACCGCGAAACGCAAAGGATCGTTTATACGCTGATTTCAGTTTCCCAGAACTACGAAACCCTTACGCTGCAAAACTGTAAAATTATATATATTCGAATTGTCGAGTCAATAGTCCCGTATTCTGTTCTGTTTATAAATTTGTAGGAAATAAAATCCATATTAATTGTTGCATTATCATTCATTCATAAACATAACAATATGGAATTTGTAATTTTACTTAACGTTACACGTAAACAACATAATTAAAGTCGTTCTAATGAAGGAATCTCTATGAACGGGTCCTGCATTATCATTAATTCATACGCTCTCAGAAAGATTCATAAACATATCAATATTAAACTCTACACACTTGACCTTTACACAACAAATTTAATTAGTCGTTCATATGAACGGATCTTTATGAACGGGTCATTTTAATTAATGACCTGGAAGACCCGGGTCACCGAAACGAACCACGTCTGCCCATCACTAGCCCATACCCCGCAGTTTTTAGTTTTTTTCTATCCGACTATAAACGAACTTTATGGTCATTTTCTTGTTTATTCTTTCATTTTCTTTATTACACCAGCTACAAAAACTGAAATTTTGATTATTAGCATATTCGACTTTATGTTTGTTTATAATATTGATTATTAATTTACTATTTAGAGTCCCATCAGAGGAGCAGTTAACCCGTATGATCCCCGACGATTTAACTACGAAGAAGTAGACCCCGAACAATATGGTGGATGGGGAGGTAACAACCAAGGCGGAGGTTTCGGCAATAACCGCAGAGGAAACGACGGACCCAGAGGTGGCGGCAACAGAGATGGTGGCCGATTCGGTGGCAACAGAGGAGGAGGAGGCGGTGGTGGTCGTGACGCATTCGGAGGCGGCAGGTAAATATTTTTCTGTTATCTAACGACATAAAATAGCGGATGTGGTTTCGTGATGGTTTTCCAGATACACTGCAAAGCTGAAAAGAAAACTGTGCAAGTTGGTCATAGTACATATTAAAACATTTTAAAAATAATTTTGAGAAGCATGTTAAAACTATATACAAAAAAATATGCTATTTGGGCCGCAATATTAAGGATACTTTTGATCGTAGCTACGAAATAAAAACTCTTATTGAAGCTCTTTTAACAGCCTTAGGGAGATTGGTGGTGCTGGAGATTGATGTAGTGGTGGAGATTGGTAAAAGTGGATTGGTCAACGATTAAAAGATGAGTCAACATCTTGTGGTCGTCAGAAGTTCATTTCTGTTACTTCTAATGCTTTTAAGTTTTTTCCTTTCAGTGGCCATAACTCATTTCCATTGTCTCATAGTACACTGTTTAATTGCCTAATGGCTTGTTTTCCCTGGTTATTTCCATGTTTAATTTCTTCATCTAATTTGCCATCGTTGGTTATTTGCATGCCTAAATATTTGTATTTTTGACAGTGATTTATTTCTCGCTGTATTTCTTCCAAGAATAGATTTTGTTGAATTCCCGCAATACACATGTATTCAGTTTTCTTGATATTTACTTCTAGCCCCCATAATTCGTATTCTTCGATAAGTTTATGGGTCATTCTTCATAGTCTTGGGTCATCACTATCTGGTCATCTGCAAAACTCAATGTGTACAATATTGCGTCGTTTAGAGGAATTCCGATGTTTCTGCATTTTCTCTTCCATGTCTTCATCGCTTGCTCCGAGTAGATCTTAAACAAAGTAGGAGACACGCAGCATCCTTGTTTGATTCCTTTGCTGATAGTGAAACCCTCTCACTAATTACCAAAATATAGCTAATCCATTCAGGATCCTTTTTAGGTCCCTGAACAGTGTAGTAAGTAGCTCCACATTTTGTTCCTGGTTAAATTTAATACACAGAAGCTCTCATATTCTTTACAAAGTACAAAGTAAAACTGAAGAATTAAAGCAAACGAGAGAAAAGAGCTAAAATTAAAAGCTAAGAACTAACATAAAACAATACATTTACGTTTTGATTTTGATTATCCAATAGATTTCACCAATATACATGGATTTCTATTGATGAGTAAAACTAAACAAATTTTAATTTAATATTTTGGAAAAAATACAGTTTTATTTTGGACAAAAAGGGCTGTTTAATTTTTTTTTGTAAATGCATAATGTATGTCTGAATTGTCAATATAAATGAGTCAGATAAAATTAAATTATTAGAAGAATTTTTCACTATGTAACAAAAAACAAACTTTGTTTAATTTACTGTTTGTATTTTGAGAACGATTTCCGAAGTGGAAATTGAAACGTCAATAAACGTATTTTTATCTTTAATTGTGGCTTATTCCCAGTTAAATAGTAAATAATTTAAAATGCCACAAGAAAATAGCTTCAGAACAGTATTATTGTTGTTTGATATAACGAGATTGGCTTATAACCAAGTAATTAGTCTGCCATTTCAATTCTCGTTATAGAGGGAGTCTACTGTATATTGTAAAATCTACCAAAACACAAATTTTTTGTAGCTATTAATTTTATTGATTGTTCAGTTAATAATTTAATCAAATTTGACATTTATACTTTCACCGCCAAGTATTTTAACACTTGTATTGTATGCATTTCGTGTCATTTCATATAGTTTTTTAACATCTTTTAGTTTGGGTAACCGCGACAGCTTGGGAGGCGGACGATTCGTTGGAAGAGACAGTGGTTTTGGAGGTGGAAGAGACAGTGGCTTTGGAGGATCTGCCTTTGGCTCAAGAGGAGGTAAGTGAATAACACCTTATTACTTAAATTTCAAAAAACGATCAGAAATAAAGAATATTTATTACACCATCAAATATTCCTTCGCCAACATCTTATTACTCACTACATACTTAATGTTTCATTGTCATTTAACATTGCAAACAGGATTTTTTTCGTTCCTTTTCTTCTACCAAAATATAAATCCTATTTTATTATGGTCCCTCGACGTAGAAGATTATTGATTAAATGAAGTATTTTCTCTATAACTACACTGTTTAAAATTATGAACTTTTGACCAAGATGTTTTATTTTAATATTAGACCAATCGAGGCTGTTTTCGTCTTTTAGTCAAAATAGGCCTTTTTTCGCCTTAAATTTTATAAACACATTCAATTTTGCAAAACTATTCAACCGATCGGGCCTATCTTTTGCATACATATCAAAAACGATATTCAGTTACATTTAAACAAAATTTTAATACATAAATAATAAAAAGTTATTAACAATATTCAAAAACAGCTATTTTGTTATTCATTTTGCAATAACGTTTTTAATTATCCGATTTGAATTTAACATATTTTTTTTCTTCTGAAAAATATGAGCAAAAGAATGAGTTTGACGTTTTGGTTTTTATCTAAAAACAGTTCCACTAAAAAACATGAAATCTCGATTAAAAGAATATCCGCTTGGTTTACCTTGTATATATTTTCAATGCAATCTTTTATAAAGGACCACCTGCATCTATCAATTGAGTAGAAGGCGAGTGTGCACTATTGATTAATAATCTAGCTTGATCAGACACCCGGTATTTTCAAATACTTGGTTAGCTATGGTACAAACCACAGTAAACTTTCTTTAATCCGACACGTTCGAGATTTAAATCATGCCGGGTTATTAAATACGCCGGATTAAATGATTATCGAATAGAGGATATTTACACACATACTTTCAGAAATCCATCAATTATGTACATACATATTAAGTTTATTGAATGATGCATCTATTTTGCATTTTGCTGAATTGTCAAGTCACCATACAGGGTGAGTCATGATACATTCGTAGGGCCACCTTTTTGGAGAAAGTCAAATGCCAATTAAAAAGTGTCTGCTACCATAGTTTAATAATATAGATGGGGATTTGTGAATTTTCATTGATATTTCTTGTGCTCATAAATTTAACCAACTTTACTGAAAAAAAATCAGGTTTGGTCTTAAAAAAATTGATTTTGTTCATATAAAACATTCATATAAAACATTTCGCTATTGGTTTATGAAAATTTAGTAAGGCTCTTACAAAGTATACAACTACACAATAAAAATTGCGTATCCACATATTCCCACACACATTTACGGATTCAGAAAAATTATATTTTTACTAAACTATAATTCCACTATTTGGAAGAGTGATTTTTTTGTTTTAGTAATTATGGTTATACAAAACCTGTATTCTGCCACGCAGCGATTATTACCGTCATAAAAATACCAAAAACATGATTTTTCAATAGTAAAAATTAAGCACCAAATTCTAATGAAATAAATTTTATTTATATGTTCCGTTTCGTTACATATTTAAATTTATAAAATAATCGATATTTTAAAACATTATTTTTCAATCGTTTGGCAACTTTGGAATTAGCTCCATTCCAATTCCTACCCACAGATTGCCACTAGATTTTCATACGTCTTTCTCCACTTCTCCGCCTTTAAACGATGAATCACTCTTTCAAATAGTGGAATTATAGCATAATTAGTAGAACCATAGCTCGTCCGGTATTATTAATAATGTAAATATTTTAGTCATTTGCACAATCTGCTTTTGTAGGGTAAATAATATGACATTTTCGTTGTTTGGAATTGTTTATGTACCTAATTTGACTTTTCGTTTTTCATGGTTGTCTTGTATTTATTACCCTATTTTAACGACTTTCCATTGATAGTTTAAGAAAGTGTAAGTGATTTATATTACTTCAATTAATTGCAAAATGTCATTTCAATTATCAATAGTGAGAACATCTATCATTATAACAGCGGGAAGTTTCCTGAAGACTGGCTAGAGTCAACTTTTGTTGCCATACAAAAAAAAACCAAAAGCAAAGTCTTGTGATCAACATCGGATGATAAGTCTAATTAACCACATTTCGAAGGCATACACCAAGGTTATTTACAACAGAATAAGCAAAAAATGCGAGGATAACATTGGAGATTCGCAGTTTGGGTTTCGGAATTCTCTTGGAACAAGAGAAGCACTTTTTAGTCTACATGTACTCATCCAGCGCTGCAGAAATATGAACAAAGACGTGTACATATGCTTTATAGACTACGCAAAAGCATTCGATAACGTAAAGCACGAAAAGATAATTGAAGTTCTCCATAAGATCGGAGTCGACTACAGAGACATTCGAAAAATAGCGAGTCTTTATTGGGGTCAAACAGCTAAAGTGAAAGTAGGATCTACATTGACCAATAAAATTGAGATTAAGAAATGGGTGCGACAGGGCTGTATCTTGTCTCCTATTCTCTTTAATATATACTCAGAAGAAGTATTTAAGACAGCGCTGGAGGAAAGCACAGAAGGCATAAAGATAAATGGAGAAATAATTAATAACATAAGGTATGCTAATGACACTGTGATTGTAGCAAGTAGCATGGAGGAACTGAGTTGCTTAATGAGTAAGATAGAAAAAACAAGTGCACAATACGGACTCAGACTAAATATCACAAAAACCAAATGGATGTTAGTAAGCAAAACCCAACAACCACCACAGCAACTGATATTAGACAATAAACGAATTGAACACGTGGATTCGTACATCTACTTGGGAACAACAGTTAACTCAAATTGGGATCAAGCGAAGGAAATATTTAAAAGTAGAAAAGGCAAGAGCATCGTTCACTAGCATGAAGCAAATTTTCACCTCTAAAAGCCTCACCCTACCTCTCAAAATTCGACTTCTGAAATGTTATGTATTCCTGGTTTTGTTATATGGAATGGAGGCGTGGACAATGACCGCAACATTGATGAAAAAAAGTAGAGGCCTTCGAAATGTGGGCTTACCGACGTATATTACGTGTATCCTGGACTGAGCACGTGACCAACGAAGAGGTACTACGCCCGATAGGTAAAGAGAGAGAGGTAGGAATAAGTATAAAGAAAAGAAAGTTGGAATACTTGGGTCACGCTATGAGACATAATAAATATATCATATCTACAGCTGATCATTCAAGGGAAAATATACAGCAGAAGGGGTCCAGGGAGGAGAAGACACTCGTGGCTCCAAAACTTGCGGCAATGGTTCGGCTTGTTATCTGCTGAACAATTCAGATCTGCCGTAAATAAAGTCAGAATAGCCATGTTGATTGCCAACGTTCGGAACGGACAAGGCACATGAAGAAGAAGAGAACATCTAGTTCAGTGTTAATGAACTGTTTAAAAGAAAACGAAATATAAATCATAACGTACCATATATTATTTACAGGAAGAATATATTCATAATGCAATTAAAGCGGATCCAAATATAAGTACTGTAGCAAACAAACGTGGGAGTGTTTGAGGCACACAAAATGAACTAGGCCACTTTGCTCAGAGTCAGAAGAGATGTGGGAGTGGATCTTTACACAGTTCAACTAGTATACAAACTAATGTAGAATAGGGGAGAAAGAAAAGAAAATAATACAATATAGTAGATACTAGAGCTAAACGAGTAATAATACTAAACGAACAGAACAAAGAAAAAAAAATGATAATTTTAATTGCTGAAAAAGGGCGCCACCAATTTTTGTCTTTATAACTAAAAAATTTGGAAAAAAAAAAGAAAATAAGTTATAGAGAAAAATACTTCCAAAACGCAAAAACTTATAATCGCCCCACTTGTATGTAGAGCTTACAAACGTTATTTAGGAGTTGAAGTGGGTAATTCATGGGCCTCTCATGTTTTATGACTTATGTAACATTATTAACAGTGTGGTTAAAAATTACAAAACGTCGAATGTGCCTTGCAGTACAATTTTATATGAAGAGAACCGATAGCCTAGCCGATGGTAGGACCAAAGTTGAAGAATACAAAACCACCAAAGACTTTGAGTGTGGATGAAGAACTTGAAAGTTTCAAGGTTCCACCTGGTGATATGTATATAATTAGAACGGGAAATAGATCCACTATTTCAAGAACCAGAATATTTCACAAAACCCCATCTAATTTCACAGGCTGAATTTAATGATTTAAGATTATGGTTATACAGAAGATACCATGGACAGACAAAGTCACAAATGAAGAAGTACTGTGGAAGATGAACACAACCACGGATTTGGTCAACATCGTGAAGGGCAGTAAGCTGCAGTACTTGGGACATATAATGAGAAATCAAGGCAGATACGAGCTACTCCAATGCATTTTGCAAGGTAAAATTGAAGGAAAAGGGCTCCCAGGACGAAGAAAAGCTTGCTAACCTGAGAGCATGCTATAGAAAGACCTCAACAAAGCTATTATGTATAGCAACCAACAAAGTCATCATAACCAGAATGATCGAGCCAACGTTTGGAACGGACAGGAATCCTTATGAGAAGAAGAGACCGCTTTTAAAATAGTTGTTGTTCAATTTTCTTCACAATGTCAAAGCTGACAATTACAAAGATCTTATCACTGAATTACTTACTGCCTACAGAGAAATAGGATGTAGCATGTCTCTAAAAATTCATCTTCTGATTGCTTATCTGAACTTCTTACAAGAAAATTTAGGTGCTTAAGTGATTAACATAGAGAACGGTTCCACCAAGACGTTATAGACATAAAAAAACGTTACCAAGTCCTAGGCAGATTACTGCTGGACATGCTCCAGCAAATAAGTTTCTCTGTAAAACATCTACCACAATATTTTAAGGCAAGCACACCACAAAGAACATACTAAAATTTTAGATGATATAGTTTATTTTCAGTGATATTCTACATAATGAACACCATGTTCTATCTGTGTAACAAAAAAAAGTTTAGTAAACTATTGCTGCTTATTCTATACATTCATTTATAACTCCAGTCAAATTAAAATCCACCCAGAATTGTAATAACTATTTTATTACAAGTAATTATGGTGACAATCTCAGCAGTGGTCCCCAACATCACTTACATTTAAATAGTTTGAGTATTTAAGTTTTGAGTTTAAGTTTTTATTCATGTTTTAGGTTCTGGCGGAGGAGCCTTCGACCGTAACGGTTGGAGCGGTGGTGGCCAGTTCAGCCCGCCAGCTGGTCTCAATACTTCTCCCAGTCCATTTGGTAGCGGAGGTGCTTCTACCGGTAAAAATAGCACCCAAGTTACCATTCCTAAAGAGGTAAGTAGAACAAAAAAAGTGATTTTCTTAATAGATATATAGTTAAATAAATCATTGGAAAATACATAGTTATATACCAGACATGAGAAACCTTTGGGGATGATAGATAAAATAAATTATCTAGACATCATCATCATTATTTTGGCTTTACAACCCTGTGTGGGTCCTAGCCTCCCCAATAATTATTTTCCAGTCGTCCCTATCCAGCGCCTTCCTCCGCCAAGCACGTATTTCCATATTTCTCATATCTTGGTCTATGTTATCTAGGAATCTTGTTCCGAGTCTTCCTCTTCTTCTTTGACCAATAGGTCTATCAAGGAGCGTTTTTCTAGCTGGGTCGGTTTGCTCCATCCGCATTACATGGCCTACCCACCTCAGACGTCCTATCTTAATGTGTTTTATGATATCTGGTTCCTGGTATATTCTATAGAGTTCGAAGTTGTATCGTCTTCTCCAGACACCATTTTCATTTACTGCTCCATAGATTCGCCTCAGTATTTTTCTTTCGAAACATCCTAACATGTTTTCATTGCTTTTTGCTAAAGTCCAGGTTTCTGAACCATAGAAAAATATAAAAAAATTATCTAGACAAGCTAAAAAAATGAAACAAAAATTTTTATGTGATACACTTCATTTTTGATTTTTTACATCAAACAAGACTAGTAGAAAACACCTGTTTGCAGGTGTAGGAAGTGCTTTGGGAATTTTAATTTTGACAGTGCGTTGTAGAACTCAATTTTAGAAACGCCGGTTTGTTGATTGACAATCCATATCAAATAGCATGCTAAAAATGTCCAAGCTATGTTGATAACTTCGAAGTCTTGGAATCTTCATTCATTAAGACATTTCACGCTTTTCTCATAAATCTTATACTCTTCCCTAACTGAAATAGTTGTGAGTATCTCAACATGAATAAAGTCGTTGTTTTGGAAAATGGATTTATTTGCATCTTGAAACCACTAATATGACCCTAAATATCATGGATTAATTGAATTCTGAGATGATCTTAAAAAAAGGTCGGAAAGCAATAAAGTATCTTTTAAGTGTTCACCCTAGTGCATTCCTTTTATTTAGAAGAAAAATATTATTTTCATCTTTTATATCACAAAGACGTTCGAGAATCCATCCTACAGCCTTCTTATTTTGTGCAATAAAGTACATCTTAATAAATTTCAATACTCACATGCGGATGTGAATCTGGGCCCTACGACAAGCAGAAAAAGATAGATGCCACTGAAATGTTCTGTTGAAGAAGAACGTTACGAATTTCGTGCATCGACCACAGGACAAATATTTCAATTTTCAAAGGAGCTAAAAGTCAGCAAATGGCTATCTAGATCTCCAATAGTTAAAATACTTTGGACATTATGGAGCACACAGAAAACATGGAAAGACTTATTATCCAAGGAAAGGTAGAGATCACGAGGAAGATCTCCAACAAAGATCACATTTATGTTTTATATGTCTTCTTGTAGTGACCATGTGTTTGTGATCAAACTCCTAGATCTAAGTATGAGCGTACAACCTCAAACCAGTCAATCATGATTATGTGTAGGATTGTTATGTAGTCTATCCACCATCATGATCTTTGTCTTTGATATGTTTGACTGCAGGCCCAATATTTGAGTTTCGTTTTCAACCATTCTTATGAGATCGATTAACTCCTGACTATTTGCAAGAAGGGGTGTCATCTGCAAAACATAGGTTGTTTATTTTTTGGCCATTCATTGAGATACTCTTTTCCCATCCTTTAAGCGCTCTTCTCGTAATATGCTTTCCACATATATTTAATAATTGTGGAGACAGTATACATCCTTGTATACTTGTTCTGGATGGAATTAGTGTGAGTGTCAAAAACGGTTGTATACGGCCGTAGTGTGTTTGTATAGTTAAGTTATAAGCGAAATTAAATGTGGTACGCCTACTTCTTTTAGTATCTAGCATAAGTGGTGCCATTTGACCGTGTAGAATGCTTTGCGATAATCTTTAAGACTATGTGTGTAGTGGGATATGGAATTCCCTAGATTTTTCTATTTTTTGTGTTATGTTCAGCTCAGCTAAGTTTTCAGTTTCTCATTGAATATCACTGTGTAACATTATCTTACTGGAGTGTGAGATAAGGAAGATGGTTCTATAATTGTCGCTGCTGGCTTAAATAAAGATGAAATTATTACAAATTATATGTACGTAATTCTTTTTACAGTTGTTTTCTTCTGTCTTCGATTCAATACACAACTCCTGAGTTTGCTAAATTACTACTGCTTATATTAAAAACTTGCGTGGAACAGGTTGCAGTTTTTGCAAAGATCTGAAATACCAATCCAATTATTACTCTCAGTCTTTCTAGGCATCCAATTCTACCAGTTACAGTGACAAGAAAAAGATATCAGGTCTCATATAGATTATTTCACAATGCGGCTATTCTTAACTCTTCTTGGTTATTCCTAGATTAAAATATGCTGCCAGGAAACCCTATATTATTATTTACGAGGTCTAGTACAGGGGTTCCCAAATTTTTTTGTACCACGCCTTTTGTTGAACTGAGAGCTTCTTGTGCCCACCTTAACAATAAATTGTGTGGGCCTTGGAACAAAAAAATACATTACATTAAACATAAAATATTTATTTATACTGATCAGATACAACAATAGAACAAAAGATTTAAAAGCTGTTCTCTTAGAACATAGTTTACAAAAGTTATTTTTATATCTAACGAAATTTTTATTAATAAATATCTTTTTTTAGCTCGCTGGTGCTATAATCGGTAAAGGCGGTGTCAGAATCAGGAATATCCGCATGGAGTCCGGTGCCAATATTACTATTGATGAACCTCTTCCAGGTTCCAATGATCGCATTATCACCATCAGTGGAATGCCCAACCAGATACAGATGGCACAGTATCTGCTCCAACAAAGGTAACTAACAATATCTGTTTAATTGAAAAAATTAAACATTTTCATTGAAAATTTTAAATTATTATTCGAAACTTAATATGTTCTCATTAATTTATAACTCCAGTATCAGCTATATATCGACGTTTAAATGTCGAAACTTCATAGTCAAAAATTGGTCATTTTTAGATTTATGAGAATTTGGGTTAAAAATATTGTTCCGAATGTATTGTCATATTTTTTTCTTCAAAGTACAGTGGAACCTCGATTATCGGTCGGCACCGGACCAAGGGTATGACGGATAATCGAAAAGACGGTTAACACTAAAAAAAATAAAATAAAGATTCATAGTATAACTTTTATTTGTATGTTTTATTTGACAATATAAGAGAGATTTGTGTGTACAGACGAATCAATTTGATTCAAAATATTCCAAAATTTTTGTTTTATTCTTACTTCACATTTTGCAACGGCTGAACTTCATCAATATCATCAATCAATCAACGTAAAATCATCAAATCTACCTTACTTGTTTCTTCTTACCGAGAATACTACTCGATGAATTGTTGTATGTGAGATGCAGATTCTCTAGCTTCTTTACACAAAACTTGTCAGTTGCAATAACATCATCAACTTAGCCACCGTCAGAGTATGTGTCAGCTTCTGAATCAGTTTCGTCCGCCTCTATTACCATTTCAACGATATCACTATCTGTCAACAGTCAATAGCCGTTTGCGCCCCCATCACAAATTAACCATTCGTTTATGTCATCTTTAGGCAACGAAAACAAAACAGTTGATTTAGCCATAACTTCATTTGTTACCGCATCACGCTCGGCTGTCACGGGGGCATTTTCATCTTGAGTTGATTCAGGCCATAATTTATTCCACGCTCTTTTCAGCATTACTTCCGAAACATCAGCCCAAGCATCCACAGCATTGTCCACTGCGTGTTTTAAATTGTTTGCTTTCCAGTATTCTGGCATAGAATATTCCTCCTTCCTCGGCGCTCAATTTTCACCTTCAATTTTCAGTTCTCGTATACCGTGGCGAGTTTTGAACTTTTAAAACCAACCGCTGCTTTCTTTGAATTAAGGATTGCTATTCAATTTCATGTTGAAAAACAACGCTTTTTCGGCAACAATTGGTCCATACAAAGGAACACCTTCGCTTCTTTTTTGAACGAACCACAAATACAGAGCCGTGTCGAGTGATTACTTTTGTGGCTTTTTTCATTTTCTTACGATGTTTCACCCAGCCATCCGACGATTCCATTTGAGAATCATACTTTTTAATTCCTTTAGCATTTTTCTTAAATTCATTGATTGTTGTTCTCGAAATATCTTACTTTTTCTCAATGCGACAGCAGAAACACCTTTCTTTAATTCTACAAAAATTTCTATTTTTTTTTTCAATTGACAAAACAACTCGTTTTCTTTTTTATGCTCCAGATGTGCTCCATTTTTCAAAACCTAATTGATCAAACGACTAAGTGACACAATCAATGTTCAAATTTGAATCAAATTGTATTATAGTCATACAGATATTGACTGTAATAATTATTGTGCTGTGCGTTTTTATTTTCGGCTTGCGATTCTAAAAATAGAACTCTAAAAGCACTGTATCATTTATCGTTACCTATTTAAATTAAAATTTAATTCAGAGAAAGATTTTCAGAAAAAAATGCGGTGGTGGCATAACTGCACGTGTACATTTCAACGAATTTCGTTTTGCTTATCACAATACTCAAACAAAATATCGACAGTGTTTTCGCTCTTCTAAAAAATTTAAAATGTTGACTTATTGAGGTTTTGACTTTTAACCATTGATATGTAAAATGTACATTTTGCCTACTTACTTCTTTCTTAGAGATTGTTGTAATGAATGTTGAATTAATTAAGCAAATTTGATATATTATGTACTATAGTATTGTTTTGGGTAGTTTTTAAACAAGCATCATTCGAACTTCTTAAGTCCTAACAGAATAAAAATTCAGAATAATATTTTTTAACAATTCACAAAATGACGTTCTATTAGATTAGATAATATGATTGTACACAGCGATCTACCAATTAGTCTGTTTACGACAGTACGCCGAAGGAAATGACTCTTATTTTGTAACTCAGTTAACAGTAGTATTTTGAACTATGTATCAAAATCTGCTTCTTCATTGGATGTAAAAGATCAAAACTACTCTTAATTTCAAAGAAGTCCAACTTAGTCCTTAGCAGCAACATATTCATAAACATCTTAGAATAAGTATAGTTTAATAGTTTTGTCTTAAGGTGCAGAACATTTAACACATAATAAAAAAATCTGTACTCTGCAAGCCTTATAATGATCAATGTTAAGAGAATTTGAATTCCAAATAAAGTTATAAGGGGCAGAAGAGAAATTTCGGTTAGAATTTGTTTAGCAGATTCCTGTAGCCTAGTTTCAAAACACGCTTGAACTACAGGTACATTTCTAGTCAAAGGATTTTTTATGAATGAAGTTGGTATTGTACCGGAAACATACCAGCTTATTTGTGAATTTTGAAGATTAAGAACGTTTTTTCCAATATTATACATAGCATCTACCAATAATTTGTAACATTAGTCTGCTTCAATCAACAGATCCATATCTACGGTCTGTACTACCGAGAATCTGCCAAATAAAATTGGATGAAATGAAACTTTTATCAATTTCAGCCTAAGGTAATTGGCAGGTTATTTTATCCAAAATCCATGACATAATTAGGTATCAGACTTATCGAATGATGCTTGTACACAAACAAATATTACATACTCAGTAGTTAGGTTGTGATGCTTGTTTGATAATTAAATCGCTAACTACTAGCTTTGTTATGTATATTTTAATCATAATTCTACTGTATATATATGTAATGCGATATTTTTAAATTAAATTTTTCAACCAGTTTTAATTTCCAGTGCGAACCTTGGTATTGGAAAAAATTAGTCCTCAAACACTCACAGTGATAAGTAAATGGTGTTTGTTTCTTTAATGTTCGTTTTTGTTGTTTGTGCTAATATAACTAAGCAATTTAAATATATAATACATATGACTATTTTCAAGAGAAATTCCTTAACTAACAAGAAGGTTAGTGACAAGTGAATAATTTAGAACTTAATTTAAAATAAAAAATACGAAATATTTCAAATCAAGATATTAAACAAATCATAGTTTTGAAGAATATCTTTTATAAAAGTATATCGACACCTGATCTGAAAAACATGGTAAACTTTCGCTTAGTTTAGAGAAGAGCGATTTAAAGAAAATTTTAGAAATTGTTTGTAGTTTTCTTAATCCATATTTTATAACTTCCTCATTTTTTCACTTTCACGTATTACATTGTTGTTCAAATTATTGCTCCTGATTTAGGTCCAATTACAATGTAACGTTGTTTAAGAATTTTACATGAAGATCATTGTAAGTAGTGGATATAATGATATTTCAACAAAGTATGTTCCTTGGATTAGTTGCATACAAATGGTATCTAATAAGTCGATATCAAAATAAAGAGATTATTATTATTTTTGTATTGATTTTACTTAAAACGTGATTTTTTACTCAAACAAGTATCTAAGAATTCATACATTTATTCAGCATACATTTATTTGTTACAAAATGAACATTTACAAATTATAAAACAGTTTATAATATTTTATTTTAAAAGCAAAGTTAACCCCTAGCAAATTCTTATTCAGAGTTATCATCCGAATATTGTATTTGTTGAGAGTGGGGGAGTTTTAAATAAAAACTGCAATATTGCTCTGGTATAGCTTGACCAGATCACAAAGCAACAAGATCTTTATATTTTGAAGCTGTTGTACAAAGTAATCCACTATATGCTAAAGGTATTTGTAGTTCCCATAAATTTTGTATATTTTTATTCCCGGATTTGGTAACACTTGTGCTCAATTTTGGTTTGTATTCTAGGTTTATAAACGATAATTGATCAGAAAAAAGATTGAACTGAAAACTGAGAACATGTTGTTCTCAGTTTTCAAAAATTACCATCAATAATAAAATTTTTAATATTGTAACATTGGTTACAACGTTTTTTCCACCGAGTGATCAAAAATTTGCACTTAAAATCAGGTTATTTTGGTAAATAACTTTATATTTACATCAAATAGGATAAAAGTTGTTAGACCAAAATAAAGGTTATTCTTAATAGATGTCATTTAAGCCATAGTCGAAAAAAATTGTAAGTGGATTTACAATGTTGTTCGTATCAGGTGTCGATATGATCTGACCAAGATTTTTTTCCAACAAGTTATTGTTCTAAAGCAGTCTGGTACCTTGACCAAACTTAGTTTTATTATTTTTGGTCACAGACAATCTATTGTTTACTGCAACCAATAGAATCCTATGCATCCCTTTTCTGTAAAATACTAACTGTTGAAGCTACTAAAACGTTAAATTGAAGTGAGCGGCGGTATATAGACCATTTGTATAGAAAAGTAACAACGTTAATGATCTATTTTTGTAATTATTTACTATCTTTAATAGAAATTGAACCTCAATTTCAGTTGAAAATACGTTCTGGCGTTTTGATTTCCAATTCGGAAATAGTTTCAAAATACAAATGAAACACATTATTTTGTTTTGTTACTTGGTAATCCAAAAAATGAAGGATAGTTCATTCATTTACTTGAAATTATCGTTAACTTAAAAATATATGTCAGTAAAATCATAACCTGTGATTTATTATAATGATGAAAAGCATGGTAAGAAATTGTGGTCTACCTCATATATCTATCTCATATAAATTAACATTTTAAAACTCTAATTTTATATGTGACTTCAAAATATTAACATAATGTACCCTCGATGTGGTTAATTCCCATTGAAGATAGTAAATAATATTAAAATGCTATAATAAAATAGCTTTAGAACACTATTTTTGCAACTTTATATTTCTTTTGTATTAATATTTGAACCTTGCATGTGTAAAAATATCCATTTTTTGTGAATCATCCTCATATTAAACCATTAAAAATGATCGCCATAAATGAGTGAGCGAGCATATATATTTTTTTACATTTTGATAAAA